CAACACCCCAACTTCTTCTTTTTTTTTCTTTTTTCTTTTTTCTTTGGGTTCGGCCCGCGATTCAAGCCCGTGGGCCGCCCAGCCCACTAGGTTGAGCCCAGGCCGAACGCCCTGGGCTGGCCCAACACGCAGACCCAGACCCTTTCGGGTCCGTCTCTTTCACCCGGCAACCCGGGTCTTCGACCCAGGTGCCTATAACACCCTCACCGACCGGAAAACCAGAAAAGCAACCAGGAAGGTGGCCTACCTCGATTTGACGACCACCCAGAACTACCGTATGAGCCTCGGCGAACAACCCAGCGGCCTTCAAACACTCAGATAGCCGGCCAAAAGCCCAGAAAAGCCCAATCTCCTTCCGCGTTCTCCATCGACCGAAAGACTCAAAAATTCCCTCTCCTCTTTGCTCGATTACCACGATTGACTGAGGGGTTCGGCCAAGGCTTCAAAAACCAACGCCAAGAAGCAGAAAACATGCAAACATCATTGCACAAAATGTGCAAATCCGGTGGAGGAAATCATTAGAACACAGTTCTTGTCAGATTTCCTGAAATTTACAGATCGGGTCCCTGGATTTTGTGTTAATCACAGAACAGTCCCTGAGTATTTTTACTCCAACCCCCAGATCTTTTAATTCTACAACTTAGTCCCTGAACTAATAATTTAAAATTTGGGTTGTTACAGTTGGAGTACGGTGATTCGTAGCGTCTAGTGGTGAGTTAGTTTGAGTCCGTGAGGGGACGGCAAGAACTCGGTTGGAGTGTGATGATCCGTAGCGTCTAGTGGTGGATAGGCCTGAGTCTAGTGATGTGATTTGATTTTTGGTTGATGGTATTCTTGAGTGCATGTTGTTATGTTTTACTAATCACTGTATGCGTATGATTTTGGACTTGTGGCATGATGCATATCTTGATATGCATAGATTAGGTATTATCTGTTCTCGCTGAGTTTCGTGACTCACATATTGACTCACATATTCGTTTGACTGTACCTACCTCGATTAGCGTACCAGTGTGGGAGACAATGACTGTAGATTTGATCGATGTACAGGCATATCTTTTTGTATCTGTCATTTATTGTATTCTAGAGTAGCTTCCTTGTACTCTCAGACAGGATCCCGGGTGATTTTGTTGTATTGTTATTCTCAGTATATGTTATGTACCTTTAGAGTTTGACTAGTGTGGTAAGACTTACTAGGATTGGTGGATCCTAGTGCCGATCATGTGCTCGGGGCTCGAGTCATGACAAAAATTAAAAACTCTCTAATATTTTTTTTAAATCTTATGCATATTAAATTTTTGATTTCATTTGGCATTTAAAATATTATTTTATTTTTAAAGCTTAATTTTCAAAAGTTCATTTTGGTTTTTTTATACCATGTACTAAATGAGTTCCCGAATGTGACTAGGCACAAGGAGAATTTTTTTTTTTTTTCCATGGCAACGTTTGTGGTGAATTTGATATTTGAGGAATAATATGATTTTTGAATAGAGAAATGGAATGTCTTGTGGGTGCTTAAGAGTATTGAATTATCTCGATATAAATATATGCAAATGTTAAATTCTAATACCTTAAAGGAGAGGGTTCTTAAAAAAGTGGGTTAAATTAATTGTTAAAAGGGTACGTTAAATTGAATGTAGATTTGAGACTGATTCATTATAGACTGCTATATTACTTCTTAGTATTATTACTTATATGAAACGATTATTGTTGATATTATAGAACTTACTCAATGGATTTGATTTGTTTTTATCTCGTGCATTCTACTAGAAATAAATGTTCACGTAGACTTTCTAATTAAGTTGAGAAATATTGTGTGATGCTACAACCTAAATAGGCATATTATTTGATTTTTAATTTTTTTACAAGAATATTCTTATAATTAGCACATTTAATTTTTACAAAAATGTCCAAAAATATATATATAAATAAAAATCAGAATAAGCTTAAATTTTTCATTTTTGTGACAAATACAAGAAATCCAAAAATCAGATGGCAAAAGAACATAAACATGATTCCATCTCCACCTCACATTCAAAGGCCGTGTAAACAGGGAAAATCAATTTGTGATTGTGAATTCGAGGACCATCGGGAAGAGTGCACTGCCACGTGTCCAAATGACAACCACTCGCTTCTACTTAGATTTCCTACTTTCGGAAATGAAAGGCTAATTGATCCGATGCGCTTAGTGCAATTACTGAAAACGTTTATTAAGATTGTGACTTAGCAACCGACTTAGTATGAGATTATTGGTGATTATGAGCGTAACATGACAGGAAACTATACTGAAAATCTGTCCGAACGAACTAGTTAAAGCATATTTAGATATGATAAATCTGTTATTTGCGTAAAAATGTAGCATTAAAATTAATTATTGCGACATTAATTCGTGATTTTGACCAATCCAGGGACAGTTTAGAAAAAGTACTCATACTACCATGTGCACGTGCCACGTGTCAGTGGACAGCCTCAACTTTCTACCTTAATTTTCAAATCACTGTCTTATTTAATGATTCAACTCTTGAACCAAGCAACTTTTTCTGTACTTTGAAACTGAAGGGCAATTAGGTGCTTGAACTTATCTATTCCAATTAGTGCATTTACTAAAAACAAACTTACAAAAAATTAAGAATATGTATGATATAAATGGGATTATGACAAAAAAATTATGTTGAAAAGTATTTGTGAACAACTATGTAAAGAATATATAAGTGCGAGGAATTCATAATTTTTGTACGCACGAAGTAATAGAATTATTGCAATATTAATTTGTGATTTTGATCGATCCAGAACCATTAACAAAAGTTCTTCTATATTTTTGACACTTGCCACGTGTCCAAATGTCATCCTGTCGTTCATATCTTAATTTTCAAATCATAAGTTCAACCTCTGCTTTCTCTTGGAGTGGACTCATGAATCAAGGAACTTTCCTTTTGAAGGGAAACCAAAAGCAAATATGATAACGAAATTTATCTGCGTTAATTGGAGAGATTATGAAAAGGTTTGTCAAAAAATCACGACTGATTATCAAAAGGCAAACATACGAGCAGTCATGTTTAACTTGTGAAAAGTCATATAACCACATTATGAGTATAATAATAACATAAAAGTTACATTTAACTGTTGAATTTAAATTGTGACAATAACAAAAAGTTGTATTGATTGAACTACTATTATTATGATATTTATCAACATGGTATTCCGGTCTCAATTTTTATATGAAATAGGCAAAAGAATTTAGAAGAACAAAAAGAAAAAACACCACGAAGGATTAAAAAAACTACACCAGACTAACTACTCAAATTGGTTGAGTGATTAATTGGTTCATTTTTTGACTTGATTTTTATAAAAAAAATTGGTAAATATTAGATAACTATTCTATTTCTTTAAATGTGCCTAAACTGCCTTTCCAACCACTTGAACTAGTCGACCGTACCTGATTTCAATAAACCCAATAGTTTGAATTTTTTTAATCTATTTTTCTAAAAATGTAACAATAGAGTAATTGCTAGCAATTGAACCGGAGCCTGCACTAAGAAGGAACAATGAACCTGAGTCTTGCTATAATTATATTGTTTGCTAAAATATATGTTGTTGATTTTTTAGAGGAAGTGATTTACATTTTTTTGTACAATTTAATTTTAAAAGTTTAATATGAAACATAAAAATTATAATCATTTATAGTAAGATTGATTGTCACAACCTACGTGATCAAAATAGGGAAAACATACATTCGGATTCCTGCATTTCAAGAAATAAATGTAACTAATTTAATTTTTAAAATTTTTAAACTGCTTAAATTTTATCATATTTTTCATTTTTATAATTGTATGGTATTATTTTTCATACCAAATTGTAACCATGCACAAGAAGTTGTTACTTACAATTTTTTTATTTATTTGAGAGTAGTGAACTTTAATAATTATGATTTATAGTTTTTTGTATTTATTTTAAATTTTGGATTGATGATAGACTTGTTATTTCTATTTTGTATGTATTATAATGATTAAATCATGAACATTGATTGATGTTATTATAAGAAATATAATAATTCTGACTCTTTTTTTTTTTTTTTTTATATTTTACGCACGTGCACGTGCGCGCACACACGCATATATAAATTGATAAACCGTGAACTAATAATTTTTTTGATTCCATAAACAATTTGATTGTTCAAACATTGATCACCACATCTATTTGAGAGATGTAACATTGAATAATAAACAAATGTTAGGGCATTCATGTAAAGGAAAAGCTAAGAAAGTAAGAGACTACTACCATTGAGTGTTAAGTTAATTCTCAGGGAACTTTACGATTGAAAAGTACTTTTTTATTTTTCTTCTTTATTATTTTATTTTTAAATAATTTCTATTATATGATTTGATTTTCACTTATTCATAATGTCTGACTAACAAATCTCTTTAATGTTATCCTTAAAAGAATTGCACTCATCTATCACAATAAAATAAGTTCCACACCTTATAAATATGTGAAACCCACTTTTTTATGAGAGATAAAAGTAGTGTCCTCAAGAATAATATTAAAAAAAACCTTGGCTAGCATTATGTTGTTCTTGATTTTTCCCTTAATAATGTTCTACCACAAGCATCCCAACTAAGCTGCATTAAGCCAAATGTCGATTACATCTAGTTTTTTATTCATCCATCAGCATGAGGGCAAGCCTTGTCTCAATGGTAAAATTGGTCCTCTTATGATCCAAATGTTAAAAACCCAAAGCACATAAAGTCTTTTAACAAAACAGAGGTAAGACTCCATCCTTTTGATGCCCATCTCATAATCCTCACAAAGCAGCAGGGAGCCTAGTGGCCTAAAATTCACACATTAGCCTGCCATGATTGCTAGTCTCTGGTAATCTTATGAGCATAGGCTACTCAGCTAGAAAAATATGTTGTATAGCTACATCTTATCTATAATTTCTGTTGGTGGTACTTGTTACCGAAAAAGAGTAAAGAAACAATATAATATTGCTGTTGCACAGAAATCTATGTAATAACAGTTGGGGCAGATCGGCCGGTGAATCCCTCCATCTTGGACAGCTTTAGAGCAACCTCCACCTATGATAAGAGTACCCAGCATTTAGCAGTAAGGTAATTATAATAAGCAGAAACATAATTCCAAGATAAGTTTATTCTTCCTTTTTCGGGGTATTTGGAAACAAGGGGAAGGACCAGGCAATTCCACGATAAAGTTGGCTCTGAGAGATATCTTACAAGTGGAGCAAGTGCTTCCTGAGAATCTCTCCCAATTTTTGATGAAATCCTTCTCATATTGCTCAATGTAAAGACGAATTGTTGCACCCTCAGAGCCAGTTCCAGACAAGCGGAAAACCTAAGAAATACAGTGTCAATCATGCATCTAAACCAGCAAATAGACAACAAACATGGCTAACATTAAAATTCTTGTGATTCTCCACTGTTTGGTAACAAATGTCCACACATTTTTGAAGAAATTTTAGGTAATGGATGTGAATGCAGTTTCAGTGATATAACATTCCCCAACTGGTTTTTGAATTGTTTACTTGTGAAAACGGGAACTACTTACCAATCGCGATCCATCTTCAAAAAGATATCGAATACCCTGATGCTTTGAGATAGACCTGTCAACAGGGTCTTTATATTCAAATTCATCCGCATGGACAACATTTGACACATCTGACCGCATCCCCTTCACAGCCCTGCACAGATGAAAATCAAGAGCTCATCAAATAGAGCCCCCCAAACTTATGACAATGATGCTAATACAGTTCGGCGTATTCTTTAGTCAACATAATTGAAGGAACTTTGTGCAATGTTCAAAAACATTATTCATAAAAGATCTGCAATTCAGTATAATTACTGATATTTGTATAATCACGCAAAAAAATACACACCAAAATTCCAACTCATGATGACATAAACTCTTTTTATCTCAAGACAGTGATTCAAGGGAAAATCAACCTCCTTATATCTAGATAGTGATCAAGTGGGTTGGTTCTGTTTTAAAATCTGAAAGCCCCAGCCAAAATGTTAACTCAGCACAAAATAGTTAAACAAGTTGGCCAAAAACAATATGGTCCAACCAAACTTGCGTTCAATCACCTAAGTTGCACTGGCAGAATACACCATCCTGTGTACTTGACATCACAATCAGATTTTGCACAAGAAAAGGTAAGGCTTTTGGTGTTAGAATATAGAATAAGAAATAATAAAAAAATGAAGAAATGACAGAAAGTTAATAGTAAAGTGAAGTATAATAAACTAGTGCAACCAGAGTTTTAAGTGTTTGGATGCTCCATAATAGCAACCATTCCATTGTTCGTGGTAGCATACTCCTTGTCTGATAAGATTACAGATATGTGTCCAATAGGAATTGTTCGTTGGAGTCAAAATTTCTCATCAGCTCAACCAAGCCAATGATAGCTCCATAGCTCATCACTTACACAGTCCCATCAAGTTTCATAGTCATATATAAATCCAATAAACGCGCATGCGCATCACATTTTATAACACACATTATTTGGCAAATGTTTGGTTATTTTTCTTCATTGATCTCACATTAAAAAGAAACTAATTATAAGGGAGAGCTTAGATAAGCAGTAGAATACCTATCATGGACTTTCAGATCCCATATAAATCATCAAACACCGCACACTGATACAGACTCCAAAAACAATGTCCCAAGCCTTGTACATATACACCATAATGTATTCTAGGCAAGGGTGACTCATATAAAGCTTTAAATTAGCAATGAAACTGACATTATTACCAGTTCATAAGAGTGCAAATCATATCCAAAGCCACAAATCAATGTTGTCGGCAAGGCAACAAATAATTTGCAGTTATATTTGCTGCCAATAAGCATGTGTTAACAAGTCAGATCTGTTAGTTCTTTGGTTCCTTTCTTTTCTCTCTTTTTTTTTTTTTTTTTTAAACTCTGGTGCTGCAACAATTTGAAAACCTGTTAAGTTTTTCTATCTATGCAAAAACTCTGCTTCTTGCCCGACATGGAAACTGGAGATAGGAGAGGTTTGACTAAAAAAAGAAGAGTAAAATGCTAGATAACTTAGCATACAAATCAGCTTACTTTAGAAGTTCAACTATTAGTATCACCACAAAATCCTACCAACAGATATGACTGACCAGGCAAGTTTGAAAAAATAACAAGGGCCAGAATCATTTTTGTTATACTCTTCAGTCCACCAACAAATCCCTCCAGTTCCAAGTTTATCTCAATTGGCAGGGTTCCTACATATTATACTATTTTATCTCTCACTACCTCTCCCTGAAGTGGCTTTAAGACCTAGGCATCTTTGCCAAATTTATTTACAACACCACTTCTTTTCAAAGTTGAAGACCATCTTCTGCCTCAGATAACTCCATGGAAAATCCTTTAGTGTCATAATATCATAAATCCTAATATATTCAAAATAAATTTTCTCTTTCACTTAATTTCATTTTGAGGTAGAAACATTGTTGCCCCATGAATTAATTCTTTAGATGTCATCAATCTCAGCTTTAAGAAGAACTCATATCAGGTAAAATTACCTGTTTTTACTTGTTTGCAAAAAGGATTCTTATAAATATAAAAATTTGATGCTACTTGTCCTCTGCTTAAAATTAAGATCCACAATATTTCAATTATCCAACTCCATAGAGAAGAATTGACAAAGCTTTCAAATCAGAGATCAGCAGGACCGGCATATGCTTTACCATACGTACACATGGACCAGAAGCGATATTGAAAAGAATCTTCTTAAAGTACTGGTGCCAGCTAATACTGAAAATCCAAGATAAAATTTGCAAGACAAGTGTGCCAAGTGTAGCATGAGAAGCATACTTGTGCTAATATTAAAAATCCCAGAGAAAGTTGCACATGAACAATCTTGAATGGAGCATAAGAAGCATACTTGTTAACTTCGGCCAGATCAGACTGCAGTTTGACCAAATGTGCCATCAATTCTTTTGCTGCACCTGCATCAACATTCTTCAGAAAAGAAAATAAATCATAAAAGAATGATTAATGCCTAACCATAAAAACAAATATAAGATAACAAGCAATCCATATCACCCTAACCTCATAATCATATCGAGTATAATAGTGGCGACCAAAGGTAGCCCAATGCTGGCGGACAATGTCTTCAACAGTCACAAGCTTTCCTCCACTGAGGTTATCTTTATTTCTATAAGCAAGAATAGAAAGCCAAGCCAATACAGCCCAGATTCCATCCTTCTCACGAATATGGTCCGAGCCTATCAGTATGTAAGAATAAAAACATTAAATGTTGCACACCTAATGTCCCAAAATTTCCATTGGCAACACAAATTCCTTATATTAATTAAAAATACTAGACTGCAGATAAATGCCCACCAGTGCCAAAACTTTCTTCACCACAAACTGAACATAATCCAGCATCCATCAAGTTACCAAAGAACTTCCATCCAGTAGGGACCTGATCATTTTGGAGAAGAAACAAAGAGTTGAGAATACTGATTATATTTCATTGAAGAACAATTCAATCCTCAATACACATATATACAACCCTATTCCTTACATAAAAGGAAAGAAATCAAACAAATCAAATCTAATCAAATCTCCTATACAATCTTCTAATATCTACACAATCTATCTATATATATATATATATATATGGAAAATATATACATAATCTCAACACTCCCCCTCAAGATGGTGCATATATGTCATATGAACCTAACTTGTTACATATGTATGTCATTCTTGGAGCACGGAGAGATTTAGTGAAGAAATCAACCAATTGATCATTGGAATTTACATATGAGGTGATAATTTCTCGGGAGATAATCTTTTCACAAATGAAATGGCAATCAATTTCTATATGCTTGGTCCGCTCATGAAAGACTGGATTTGAGGCAATATGTAATGCTGCTTGATTATCACAGATGAGTTTCATGGAGTTAATCTTACAAAACTTCAGTTCTTTTAGGAGTTGCTTTAACCATATAAGTTTACAAGTAGTAAGAGCCATGGCACGATATTCTGCTTCTGCACTAGATCTTGCAACAACATTTTGCTTTTTGCTCTTCCACGAGATAAGATTACCTCTAATAAAACACAATATCCAAAAGTTGATCTTCTGTCACTAGGAGATCCTGCCCAATCAGCATCTGTATAAGCAATAATGTCCACATGACCCTTATTTTCATAAGTCAACCCCATTCCGGGAGAGCCCTTTATGTACCTCAAGCTTCGAACCACTGCTTCCTAATGACTATTACAAGGAGAGTTAAGAAACTGGCTTACAACATTAACAGCAAATGATATGTCTGGTCTAGTTATAGTAAGATAATTTAATTTTCCTACCAATCTCCGATATCTATCTGGGTCTGAATAGGGCTCCCCCTGATCTGGTAGAAATTTAATATTTGAATCCATAGGAGTATCAACTGGTTTACAATCAAGCATTCTAGTCTCTTCCAAAATATCAAGGGCATACTTCCTTTGAGAAATAGAAATACCTATCTTTGACTGGGCTACTTCAATTCCAAGAAAATATCGCAATTTGCCCAAATCTTTAGTTTGGAAATAAAAAGACAAGTGTTGTTTGAGATTTTTGATGCCCTCTTGATCATCACCTGTAATAACAATGTCATCTACATAGACCACAAGATAAATGCACTTATTAGAGACTGAATGTTTGTAGAATATAGAATGATCTGCCTCACTACAGACCATACCAAATTACTAAATAACCTGGCTAAATCTTCCAAACCAGGCCCGAAGAGATTGTTTAAGGCCATAAAGGGACTTATGTAATCTGCACACCAGAGTCGACTCCCCCTGAGCAACAAAACCAGGTGATTGCTCCATGTAAACCTCATCTTCCAAATTGCCATGAAGAAAGGCATTTTTAATGTCCAACTGGTATAAGGGCCAGTTCTTAATGGTGGCCATAGAAAGGAAAAGACGAATAGATACCATTTTAGCAACTGGAGAAAAAGTATCACCATAATCAAGACCAAAAATCTGAGTATAGCCTTTAGCCACCAAGCGGGCTTTCAAGCGGTCTACTTGTCCATCAGGACCCACATTGACAGTAAAGACCCAACGACTACCAACTGTAGATTTCCCAGGAGGGGAAGGAACTAAGGTCCATGTATGATTGGAATCTAAGGATGCAATCTCATCAATCATAGCCTGTCTCCATCCTGGATGTGCATGTGCTTCCTGGATAGTTTTAGGGATAGAAATGGAAGACAGAGCAGATACAAAAGCATAATGGGAAGAAGACAAGCGATGATAGTTGAGGAAATTGTAAATAGGATGAGGATTACGAGTAGAACGCGTACCTTTACGAAGAGCAATGGAAAGGTCAGCGGAAGATTCAGATGAACCTGGAGTAGGTGGAGACACTGGAGCAGGAGGTGAATCACTGGAATATATAGCCTCTGGATTCTCAAGTCGGGGTCGACATTGATATGTGATAAAGTGAAGCTGAGAGGGAAGCTCTGGCTGGGAAGGAGACATTGGCACCTGAGAGACCGAAATAACAGACGGAGATGGATCAAGGTAAGGAATTGTAAGACTTGAAAGATGAAGTCCGATTCAATTGGCGAACTAAAATAGGGTGTATCTTCAAAGAAAGTGACATTTGCAAACATGTAAAATCAATATGTGGAAGGAGAGTAACACCGATATCCCTTCTGAATTCTAGAATAGCCAAGGAAGATACATTTAATAGCACAAGCAGTCAGTTTATCAAGCTCTGGAGAAAAATCCTGTACAAAGCAAGTAGAGCCAAAGACACGAGGAGAAACAGTGTAAAGGGCTCGTTAGGAAATAAAAGAGAATGAGGAATCTGATTATTTAAAATAGAAGGTGGCATTCGATTTATTAAGTAATTAGCAGTAAGAACCGTATCACCCCAAAACTTTAATGGTGCATTGGCATGTAGCAAAAGGGTACAAGCTGTTTCAATGATATGACGATATTTTCTCTCAGCTATGCCATTTTGTTGAGGGGTATGAGAACAACTAGATTGATGAATCATGCCATGAGATGCCATAAAAGAAGTAAAAGATGAAGAAAAATATTCTTTTGCATTATCACTTCGTAAAATGCGAATAGAATGGCCAAATTGAGTTTGAATTTCCTTGCAAAAATTTTGAAAAATGGCAAATAACTCTAAGCGATCTTTCATTAAAAATATCCAAGTACACCTTGAAAAATCGTCAATAAAAGTAATAAAATACCTAAATCCTAATATAAAACGGACATGACTAGGACCCCAAACATCAAAATGAACAATAGCAAAAGGAGACTTTGCTATATTATTGACCTTACTTGGAAGGATGCTCGAACATGTTTTCCCAGTTGACATGACTCACATTCTAAAGACTATAAATAAGAGAGACGAGGAACATCTTCTTTAGTTTAGCAAGACTTGGATGACCCAAATGTCGGTGGAGAAGATCAAGTGATTCAATGATAGCACATATGGTTGAAGGTGGAGGTTGGAGATAATATAGTCCATGTGATTCAGATCCTACGCCAATCATCCATCCCGTACTCCGGTCCTGTATAAGAAAAGAGTAAGCAGTGAAGGTTATGGAACAGTTAATGGTACGAGTGAGTTGGCTAATAGAAATTAGATTAAAAGGACAATTGGGTATAAACAAAACGGAATTCAAAGACAAAGATAGGAGAGGAGCAGCTTGACCAATGCCAATGGCTTTAGCCTTAGAACCATCAGCAAGAGTGATGTGATATGGTGTCTTTGGAGATGATAATTTGAAGAAAAGAGAAGGATTACCAGCTATGTGATCAGAAGCACCAGAATCCAAAATCCAAGGTCCAACAAATGAATGAGAGAGGCAAATCGTAGAATTACCATGAGCTACAATGGCTGAAGATGAAGCTTGTTGGACTACTTTTAGTTGAAGATATTCTTTGTAATCACTGTCAGATAACAGATTTTGGTGATCATTTGCCAATTCTCCTTTCCTCTCAACACTAGATGATTGAGATTGTGTCACATTAGCGGTTTTTTCTGAAAAGCCATGGAGAGAATAGCATCAGTCTTGAGTATGGCCCAAGCGTTTACAATAGGAACATTGCAGATGATTACCACGGCCACCTCTACCACGACTACGTCCTCGTCCTCCACGTTTAGCTGTATTCGAGACAAAAGCTGAGGATTCTGTACCTGTTTGAGGACCAATTCCAGTTGTTGTTTCCAAAGGAGGAACTCGAAGCAGACGGTCAATAAGATCCCCTGTTGTAGGAACACTAGGATTTGTTATAACTTGATTCCTCACAGATTCAAAATCTTTGTGTAGACCATGGAGGACAAACATCATATACATTTGGTCAAGTTTTTCCAACACCTTTGGAAGATCATCTCCAATCAATATCAACTTAATTTCTACAATGGTGGACTGCGCTTTGTTTAAATATGAGAGCAAATCATGATCCGTCATGTCAAGTGTTGCCAAGTTGTGGACAAAGTCATACATACGTTGAATATCATTAACATAGATACTCTTGGCTTTCTTCCATATGTCATAACATGTTTTTATAGGGACAGAAGTGTACCAGCAACTTAGGATCAATGGACTGCCATAATAAGGAGACTAATTGATAATCAGCCCTTTTTTCCATTTATCCTATTCTTCTTTAGCAATCTCTTCAGCCTTCTTGGTTAGATGGTCTAAAAGTCCCTATCCTAAAAACCATATATCAACCGCAGCATACCAATCTAAGTAATTCTTACCATTGAGTTTTTCTGATGTTATAGTTGGACTGCCAGAAAAAGCAAAAGAGATGAGTCCCTTTTTTGAAGATTCAGAAGTGACTAAGGAGGAAACCGACGTGGAAGTCATGAGGAGTAGCCTTTGAACTGGACGGAACTTGAATGAACCGGTTAATTTAAACTGAACCGGTTTTAACCAATGTTCAGCTTCTTCTGTCTAGAACGAATGGAGGCTTATGCACCAACAAGAGACGACAGGGTTGATCAGAGTTACAGCCTAGGTTGCAGAGAATGTTTTAAACCCTAAGCGACTGGAATAGGAAGAACACCTGCGACGAAGATTAGGGTTACAGCCGAGTTTGCAGATGATGTTCTAAGCCCTAGGCGACTGGAACAGGAAGACCGCTTGCGACGAAACACTTCGTAGGCGACTGGGATAAGAATAACACCAAAGACGAAGCACTCGTTGAGTGCCGACAAGGTTGATTTCGTCTACCAGAGACGAAGATGACGTTGACGATGAACAGAAACGAAGCCGATGAGACCCTCAGTGAACTTGTTGACGACAGGGGATGGGTACTGACCAAGCAGACCCGAGACGAGGAAGGCGCTGTCAGACAACAGAGATCAGTTGAAAAAGGGGTACACACAGTGGGTCTGACCGAAAATAACGAGACGACACCGGCGGAGGAGAGGGCAGTTGAAAAGGGTGTAGGCGCGTGTAGTCACGCACGCCGGAGAAGAAGGGTGGTCAATAGTGCGTGGCAGCGCGTGCAAGTTCCGACTTCGGTCCTGTTCCAGTCAGATTGCTCCGACGATGATGAAGAGCAAATCTGGACTGAAATCAGAACAGTAATGTTGGTTGTGAACAGTGAAACCCTAGCCCCAAATACCATATCTAACCCTAGCTCTGATACCAAGTTGAGAATACTGATTGTATTTCATTGAAGAACAATTCAATCCTCAATACACATATACACAACCCTATTTCTTACATAAAAGGAAAGAAATCAAACAAATCAAATCTAATCAAATCTCCTATACAATCTTCTAATATCTACACAATCTATATATATATATATATGGAAAATATATACATAATCTCAACACAAAGTTACCTCTTGCACCAGTTAGATATGAATCTGACATATATTTTGCAGTGGGTGCAATAGAATACCTCAAAAAATTTCAGATTTAAATGTTTAGCAACAACATCAAGTGCAGCAGATGTAGGCATGCTCCTGCAGAAAGAAAAGTCAAACATGACATTGAAACTTAATAATGCAAGAATGATGTCAAATAAAATGGAGAAACTAACAACTTCATAAGGAGACTAGCAATAAAAAATCATAAACGTTATATGGCAGGATGCAAAACACAAAACATGACAATGAAGTCCAGCTTACTTGGGTTAATGAAAAGGAATGTAAATATGTGTGAAAAATAAACATGCCTTGGAAAATGAGCAAAGACACATGCCACCATACACACAAACAAAAAAACAAGGAAATAAGAAAGATGTTGCAGAACCTTGCAACTCCCTTTAGACCAGCAGAAAAGTAAGGTATGGCTTGAACAGCATTTGCAGCAATAATAGCAACTGAATCTGATGGAGTAACAAAAAACCTGAAATGATGAATTCCAAAGGAATAAGGTTCTGATTGGAGTTTTGTTGCCCACAAAAGTCAAATGCATAATGTTACCTTTTACCAAGGATCATGTTACGATCGGCATCACCATCTGCAGCAGCACCAAATTCTGGTGGTTCCTCTTGAGAGCTTGACTTACCCAATCCCATGCGTCCAACCAACTCCTTTGCATAAGTCAGATTAGGATCTGGATGGCCTCCTCCAAAGTCTTCCTGTATGCAAGAAAAAATGCACAAAGAAAGTCATGAAGTGACATCAATAGTTAAATCAAAGAATTACTCTTACAATCTTATACCCCAATTAATCCAGAAAGAAAGTAAACCTTTGGTACACAGTTCAACAATGAGCTTTCTGGTGCACCAAGCTCCTCCACAAAAGTTCGCCTAGCATAAGCTCCAGCAACACCATTGAGTGCATCATAACTACAAAATGACAAGGGAAGGCAAGAACTTAATAGGTACATATGTAATATGTATGTCTGAAGAAGAGTGTTTTGCATGTTAGATATTAAGCAATGTGTACATACCAGAATGTAAATTTGGGAGATGAAAGCAACTTTTGAATAGAATTAAAATCGAATATTGACCTGAAAAATTGCAACCAATATTGTTGAAGGAATGCATCCCAAGATCATAAATAGGAGTAATGTAATGAATTTAATATCTATTCTGGTAGATTAAAAGAGATCAAATGGTAGCCAACCCCTTGAAGTTGTGAGAAAGGATAGGATGAGTAGAAGAAAGAAATAAATCACACCATGTTTTATAGCATCATGAATTCTTGGTCCAAAGGGAGTAAGAACTTTAGTGGAATGATCTTAAATGTAAAAGAACTTGAATATCACTAAAAAGGATAAATAGGACAAATTGTGATGTGAAACAGTAATATTGAATGCTGAACATATTCCAAGCAGGAAGCTAGACTTGCATGGCTTGATTATGTAGTGAGAAACAAGCTGAAACACATGGAATGGCTATAAGCTGTGAAACATAGTACTCAGTATCATCATTTCAAAGGAAGGGAAAATAAATAGGAGGAAAGTATAAGTAGGTATTATTCATCAACATAAAAGGCATGAACAACTACGAATTCAGTTAAAGACAGCATACTTCATCAATTTCACATAATCAGTTGCTGAATCAAAAACATCAACATCAAATAGCCCCTCTGGTCCAGTGAAGTTTGTTATGCCTATTGTAGATATATCCACCTGAAAAATACTTCAAGCTATATGTGATGAGAATTTTTGACAAGGATGCTACAAGTAGAGATGATTCAGTGTAACATTATATGATGTTCTAGAAGCATCTCGTACATCTGGCAAGTCAGCCATTAAGTATTCCTTTATCACTTTTGTGTTTTCGAAGATCTTATCTGTAATTCCTTCTGGTGCAGGTCCACCATTTTCCATGTTGTATTTAATTCCAAAATCCTGTAACACCAAAAAATAGAAAACAAAATCCAGCTTTAGCATTGCAATCCTATGAAGTGCACTTTCCGATGAAGCAAAAAGGTCCTACAAATTTTTGATAGAGCAGATGAAGATATATAATCCACATGGTCAACTCCATAAAGTTAGGAAAATACTGAGTTGAGTTGAGTACAGTCAAGCTCTGCCCGGCTATCAGAATATTTTGAACATGAATTGGTGACAAAAAGTTTACCCTTCAAATAAATTAATAATCCAGTTGACTGGCAATCACTTTGGCTATTCTTTATGCAGATATACACAAAGCATAGTTAGATTGATACATACAGAAACAGCAACAGCAACTTATTGAGTAAATTGTCTTCAGAGAATAAATTCATTCTATAAAGAATTCAAGATGGAGAATGGGTGAGTGATGGCATAGATGTGACTAATGGAGATACCTCATACTATCCCACATATCTGAGAAGCTTTTATGAAAACTCCTGAAGAAGAATTGTTAACAAAATTGGGCATAAAGAGTGGAAGTATCCAAGGGCAGAAATTGAACTTGCGTGAGATTTTTTCAAAACAAAAACGCAATGATCAGTTGGTATTACCCTCTTATAACAGTAGAAAGGAGGCACAAAAATCTTTTGCACACAATAATCAAAACAAAAGACATATCATTGAACCAGATCTTTTCCAAATACATGAAGTTTGCAACAGGAGTCCTTTAAGAGGTGGCAATAACATGATATACCAACAGCACAAGAACTGGGAAAAAAGATAATAATAATAGGGTTTGGATTTGGATTAATCATGTCAATGGTGCGACTGTTTCACATGATTAATTGACCTACTAAACTGAAATTAACATGTTAACAACATAATTAATTTCTTGGATCAAATCATGTCAAGACAAGATGTGGCAAGACCACAGTTTCCCTTTAAAAATAAAATAACAAAAAATGCTAGCAAATACCTCATGGGGACCACCTGGATTGTGACTTGCAGTCAATATAAATGCTCCTGATGCCCTAGACCCCTATGTTGGAATTCAGAGAGGTAAAAAAGAGTTAATATTACAAATAGAACTGGTTTTAGCAAGAAGAAAACAAGAAGATGAAAATCAGACAGGAAGTAACCATTTAGAATGGATCAACTTACATCAGGACCAACTCTTTCGCGGATAACAGCTGATACAGCAGGAGTGGACAGCAAACCATTCTGTCCAACCCAAACACATCTTACTCCATTTGCAGCTGCCATCTTAATTATAATCTGTCAGTTTCCACAAAGTGTATTCAATTGATAGATCAGAATGGTCAGGGAACCAATATGTGTAAAGGATTTCAGAAAGCGTTATTTTGTATGTTAAGAAACTAAAGCCTGGTCTTGGACCACAACTAAGAGGCCAAACAAGCCAAGAGAGATAAGCCAGAAATCTATTCAAACATAATCATAAGCAAGTGCTAAGCTGCAAAATCAGAACATTGCAAACCAAGACCATTGAGGTTTTGGGATAAGGCCAACATTTTGGGTTCATTTTATTTTTCTCTCAAGTTTTCATTTCAATCCCTTCTTTATTAATTTTTTAAAAGTCATCAAATATTCTACTTTCTGCAATCCTGAAAGAGCTGTAGCCTGGGCCAGGGTCTAAGAAATAAAGCTAAAATCCAAGAGAATTCCGGATAAGTGTTGCTGCATCACTTGAAAACTAAAGCATGTATTAAAAGCAACAAGTCCCTTCAAAGTGACATAAAATTTTATCTGATTACAGGAACTGCATCTTCAATCAATACTAACCAATGCTTGATTAAATGGAGCTAGTTCTATGCTAGTTTAAATGATAGCTAATGTGTCAAAAAAAAAAAAAAAAAAAAAAAAAAAAAAAAAAAAAAAAAAAACAACAACAACAACAACAACTATGGTGGTAATTTGGAAAACACAAGACAAGCCAAAGCATAAAATATTAAGTCAAAACCTAAAAAATCTTGAGATTACCTGGATGGCTTCCTTAGAAAAATAGCGGCCATCACCAGAAACAACCAGTGTAGCACCTGTATGCAAAAAGAGCAAACTTATAAGAAGAGATCTGGCACATATCTCTGGAGAGATCAAAAAGTGTCACTGCCCAATACATATTAGACATAGACACAACGTCCTTACAAAATTGCTCCGGCTCTTTAGTGTTTCATATTAATTGTACAAAGTTAAATGTTAGTTCGATCTTATTTGACAAATAGGCCTATATTTTTGCACCCAGGGATGGAAATGGTGTGGATTGGTCTGGAACCCCCATCTAAAATTGAAATAGAGACCCCAAACCCATCCCAATTCCAAGCCAAGGTAAGGGACATTTGTTAAACGCTGAGCAAAACATTAATCATGCGCCTCATCGAGTGGTTTAATCAAAGATAATTTTTGAACTATTTGCAGCCTTACAGGATTCCATCATGGAGACACTGTACATCCAGTGGCTGAATGGCAGCCTCAGTTTCAAAGCAGTGAAGGGTAGGAGCATCTTATAAAGCTTCTAACTTCCAAGACAATGACCTTTACAAGAGAACTGATATGGGATATGGGAAAGTTCTTGTTTCAAGAAAGTTCCCTCTCCATCCCCCATTTGTTTGTGGTATATCTAATCTGCCCTGCCCTTTTAAATATAGTTACCTTTGCAAGTATCTCATTTCACACATTTTTATAGTTCCATGTTGATTAACCATGACCCAAGTTGAAACTTCTTGAGTCTTTAAATGCAAGAACCTTACTACATCAGGGGTTTTCCAGGGGGTATCCAGATGTAGATCAATTCCTAGCTGCCACCACAAAATCTGCCAAGCACCCCTGTTTAGGACGGCAAAAAGCACCTGTTAATTGGTTGTACTACAAAATCCTGCAGGCCAGCTCCCTCAGATGAATTGGTTGTACAGCCATCCTTATTTGTGTCTCGATCCATGTCTATGCTAGGCTATGTGCATCTAATACCCCAAAAGATAAAAAATGAAAGGAAAACTGTATTGATAGATCTGAAGCCATGCAAACCAAGGTGATTCAGCCTGTCCTGAAATATCTATAGAAAAGAAAGGACCTAAATCCTAATATCTTTGGCGCATGAACAGAAAAAAGCAACCCTGTGTCTACAAGCACAAATGCATCATCCATCTTCCATTCTACCGCTTATCCTTATCAATGGCAGAATATTTATTTTGGATACCAAATTATCAACAATATATTTCTGCTTTAAAAATTTTGATAAAACTACCTATAATATAGGTATTGGGAGCCATTACTTCTGAATGCTAATTTTCAATCAACAGAAGATAAAATTTCTTCTCAATGCAATTTTCAATAAATAGAAGAGTAAAAATCTAGACTCGCCTTTTTCTTTATAACAACGGAGCCATTACATGGGGCCCATGTGTTAATTCTACTCTCCTGAAGGTCAGATTTCGGTTAAACCACAAAGACTGGTTTCTTACTTTAGTAAGGAACAAACATTTCAACCAAAACATAACAAAGTAGTTCCAGTCAATGGATGTAAAACAAAGATAGTCAGTGTGCACATTCCTTTCTGAACATCTCCAATATAAAATGCATCAATAGGATTGCAGTCCCCAAAAGTTATTTAATAGACTAGCGTACTTGCCACCTGGTAAATTTTACAAGTAACTGGCTTTAACTAAAGCAGATTGCAATAAGTTTCTTAAGAAACCAATTGGACTCATTTCTTTTTTGTTTTTTTGGATATTTAATTCATCATGAATGAAACCTGAAACAGGAATCCTCAAAATCAATTAACATGGGGAGGGAGGAAACATTGTTTTTGAATAATATTTCATTACCTTATTCTCTTTTTTCCTTTATGAAAACTCAAAATATTATTCCATTCGCTGCATTTAGTATCATATCAAACAAACAATTGAGTCTAGAACAGAGAATAAAGCCTTACCTCTAACTTTTTCTGCTGAAAGGGCATTGAATGTTGACTGAACAAAATTATGCAAGTAATTAGGTTGAGTGAACACTTTCACCTGAAAAATTCCGTCCATGATTACATTAGTCAACACGAAAAGATATTACAATGGAAGTAGCAGCTAATAGGATCTGAAATACCCGAAGCATTTTCTGCATTTACTGACACTAGAAATTATTAGAATCAAAATTAAGGTGGTCTGCGCATCATATTACCAAAGGCATACAGCAAAATTTAAGAACTCAAGAGATATATTTGACATAAGAAGACACTGAAATCTAACCATGCAGATAAATTCCTATAGTCAGAAGTCTTTAGCTAGTCACAGAAGTTGGATTAGCTTATAGTCACAAGTACGGACAGAACCATATTTGGAAGCTGGCCACATAAAGGATTCAATAGACAATCATCCAAAAAAGCTTAAAGCTTTAAAGAACAACATGCAAATAGCTTCCACAAAATAGACACGTATAAAATGAAACCTAATGATTTTTCATTCATTTAAATCACATGATATTAACGACATTTGACTGGAGTAAATTTTTTAGATCCTATCGAGAAAATAAAAGGCAACATTTGCATGACTCTTTCTCTATGTCCGAACATAAATAGATTGGTGCAATAGAAGAACAAGGCAATAATCTGTGAAAGATAAAGAGATTTACGAGATATCGGACTCATTAATGACTCAAATATCAACTGCTGAAAAGCTATGAAAGTTCAAGTCAGCTGTGGGAAAACAATCCAATAGCGCGAACAGAACGGATCCAACTCGAGAAGCTCAATCACGAAAGGGCACGTGAATCAAACAGCGGAAGAAACTTGACGGGCCAATTAGGACCAAGCAATTCAACATTGCCTAGCACATTGACGTAAAGATATTAAACAAATTGAACAGATGATTTCGAATCACCTTCTTCCTCAGACCGGATGTCCCTGGTTTCTGGCCATCGTAAGGCGTGGTTTGGATACGAGCAACCTTGAACACCACCATTTCTTCCTACTCTGGGCTGAAAATAATATAATAAGATCGAAATCAAGAACAAAGAAATCGAAGTACAGGAGAGAGAGTGAGACGACGTGTTAATAATCTACAGGCATACGTGAGATATATATAGATATGCAGAGGGAACAGGAGGAAAGTAAGATGCTTTAAAGGTGAGGATTGAGGAAAGTAGAGGAGACGAGTGAGATTCGAGGAAGTGAGTGCAAATTGAGTACGTGTCCGAAATACGCAAGTGATCGTTGTAGGGAAAAGAGGGAGAGAGAGAGAGATGATGAAGATTAAGAAGATTCTTTTACGGGCATTCTGAAACCGCCCGTATTCAATTTATAGGCTGAGCCAGCTTACGGAGGAGGCTTCACGTGGCGCGTACCTCCGGGCATCGGACTCAGGTCTCCGGTCCCAGTTTGCTGTCATTGAAGGAAAATTGAGTTAACGACCTCCATGATCTAATAATTCTTAATTGGCTCCCTAGTTTCAATATTTCAATTCAATCCCCAGACCAATGAAATTTGATTCAGTATCACCCCAACCAGAACCCTAGTCAAATCAAGGCAACAAAATAGGAGGGAGGAGGAAAGCCAGTAAGTTTGAGTGCACATGTTTTGCACATGATTTGCAACTTATTTCTATCACCACTTATTTTAAAATAAGAAAGAGATATTTTTTTTTATACAGTAAAGTCTCGTTAGTTTTGTTTTTTTAAGATTTGGACCACGATCAGGAGATTTTCTACGTTTTTTTCTCACTAATTTATCTTAAATTAGTTTTATTTATACAAGTCAAGCAAAAAAAAAAAAAGAAATTCTATGGAAGTATATATGTGATAACAAATGACCAATGATGTGAAAAAAAATCTGAAAATAAAATCACACTAAATTTATGTGACATTCAAATTAGGAGAGTTTGATTAAAATGACTAATTATAATATACATCTAACTTGTTGATTGTTAAAACAGATTTCTAACAGAAGTCTTGTCATAATTTTGGAAGTTATAACAAGGCTAAAAAGATACTTTAAACACACTCAAATGACTTACAAAAACTTGTAGAAAAGTCGATGGTCACCATAGATTGATGATACAAGCAAAACAATTAAGCAAGAAAGTGGAAAACAAGATAAAACATGGTTGGTAGCATCTAACATGTGCAAGTAATTCGGCGCCTAACATGCCTCTTAGATGGCTAATTAGCCTTCTCTCGTTCTCAAATTGAGGTTCAACAGCTCTCATTATTCTAAATAATCAAAAACATAGTTTAAATGATTAATAAATATCAAAGAAGGTCGAACAAGTAAGTAATTTAAAATTAAAATACAAAATAAGGATAGAATATCAAGGTGTTGTTTGCAAACACTTTTGAAAAATTAGATGTAGATATTTAAAAAAAAAGTAGGTAGAACTTGATTTTGATTGGAAGTGATGTATATTTGAAAAATAAAATTTAAAAAATTTTAAAAATAGTGAAATAGTGTTTAAAAAATAATTTATTATAAAATTATAGTGAAGAAATTTTTGAAAGAAATAAATTATTTTATCTTTTTTTTGTTATCTGTTTTTTCCCCTTGCAACCAATTACTGCAGAGGAGGAGGTGTCAAAAGGGGGGAAGGATCTGAGGTTTAAATTTGCATTTGGTTTTTGCGAGCAGGAGTCGTTGATTGCTTTAAAACGATGTTCTTCGCAACTGAGTGCTACCGAGGAGGAGGGATCGAAAAGGGCAAAAGCGTTCGGGGTGGGAGAGTGGGGCCCAAGCTTTACTACCAGTGTTGCCACTGGCGTCTTGGCCCTGGGGCGCTAGTGGATCTAGGTCTTGGCTCTACTAGTTCATCGTTACATTAGGGGCAACTGATTTGTTTAAAAAAAAAAAACTTCTCTCTTCTCTTCCTTCTTACTGAGCGGCAGCCGATAAGCCAATAAGGCAAAGAGGGACAACTCACAAGTATTGGCGTCTCGTGATCATCGCTTGCCGGTGTCTCATTGGCGTCTATGAGAGTCAGCAAAGAGGAGCTCAACCAAAAGCAAATTGAAGCCAAAAGTAGGCACGCAAACACATTAGCACTTATTCTACATCGAGCTATGCAACCGAGCTTCAAAGAAGCTTGTGCAAGTGCCTCCAAAATTAGGAGCCTGTACAGGCTGTTACGCATCTAACTTCCTTTTAGATCTACTCTATGGAATAGAAAGGGTGTTTGCAAATATTTATGCAAAATTAGAAATTAGAATTCAAAGCCGAATTGTGGTACAATTAATTATAATTAAAAGTTGAGTGTGTTTGAAACATATGTTAAAAAATTTTTGAAGTTAGTAAAATAAATTTTTGAAATACAATTTATACAATTTACTTATAGATAATTTTTTTTCTTTAAAAGGGCTAAAATCTCTTCACTTTTTTTTTCTCGTCACTTTTTCTTTCTCTCACCTGCCGACCCAAGTCCTTCTTTCTCTTTCTCTAAATCTTCTTTTCTTTCTTTGCCTACATCTCACCTCTTGCCATTTTTTCTCTTTGCTTTCTTCTGTCCTGAGGCTGCTCCTTCCTCTTTTCCCTTTGCTATGTTGCTGGGATCTCAACCCCTAACTCAAGCTGTTGGGTCAATATGTCTGTCTTTCTTTTTTCTCTTTCTTTTTCTCCCTCTTGCGTTGGTTGTTTCCAGACTACAGCTAGCTACCAGCTTGCTGGCATTGCATCGGAATCCGGCGATGGGGGCACCGGCGTAATTGGTGGCCAAGGGCACGTTGATTGTTGATTGGTGGGTATTGGTTACGTGCTGGAGTAATTTAGGAACAGAGAGGGAGTGAGAAAGCATGGGTAGTTTAAAAATTAATAAAAATATTTGAAAATAAAAATATCATAAATTATCTTGCACTAATTTCTATTTAATTATAAATGTATCATTAAATTTGAAAACACTCCCTTTTATTTCAAAAAATAATTTTGCTTTAGTTTTTATCTATTTTAAAAATTGGAAGGAGAAATTACAATCTGAAACCTAAACACCACAAAAGTAACTAATTGCATTGATCATGTAAAACTGATTATATGAATCTCCTACCAGCACAATTTAATAAGGATATTCATGTTACGATTTTATTTGATTTGATATTTAAATTTAAATCAAATTATATTTTTAATTTATAAATTTTAAAAATTAAATTAAATCATGATTCATGGTTTAGTTTGATTTTAAATTATAATTTATAACTTATAAAAATAAATATATATTAAATTCACTATTTTTATAAAAATTTCGACAAAATTTTTTAAAAACTTTATTCAAACTATTTAAGTCAACAAATTTATTATTTATTAATTAATCAAATAAATACATATTACATAACAAATATATTTATATAATATAACAAAGTTTAAACTATACTAACGAAAATTACTATTTAAAAAGAAAAATATTTCATTATTAAAAGAAATATAAATATAAAAATGAATAGGAATAGAAAATATGCAATCAAATGGAAAAAAAATTACATATATAAAAATAAAATTAGTTATTTTCTATATATTTAAACTAAATAATTTAATTTAATTTAATTTTTTTTATTTTTATAATTAATTTATAAGATTTGATTGAATTTGTTGAACGCTCCACTGCCCATGTACGTGTTATTAAGGATGAATTGATATTGATGGGGAATTGATGGGAAGGAGGGGGCAGTACCAATAGCTAGCGACAGAACCCAATATATCAGATGGCCATGTCAGCAGAATTGTTGATGTTGATGCATGGTTTGCACCTAATAGACGACATCAAATACATTATGCAAGTCAGGATATCACTTTAAGACAAGTTCTAGTGGATGGATGAATTTAAAATTTTAGGCATAATCAGTGAATTATTTTTGATATTTAATCATACATACAATTTGATTAATTTTTTTTTTTGGTGACCCATTAAAAACCAAACCCTGTTACCTCCATCAAATAAACCAAAAACTAGAATTTAATTCGATATAACCAAAAAAAAATTATAAAAAGGCAAAGCAGCTATCATAAAATTGAATATTATCTATTTTTTTTCATATTTTTAAAATGTGTTTGTCCATATTATAACATGAATATAATTTTGACATATTGCTTCATGGGTATAGTTAGACATTATCAATATATCTTAGTTCTTTCAATTATGAGGAATAGTGATCTAAGGGAGCGCTTGGATGGGGGATAGAATATAGGGTGATAAGAATATAATTGGATAAAATTTATTTCACATGTTTGGTTTAACAATACTATATAGGATAAAATTTTTGAAATGTAGGATAAAGCTGGTAATTTACCAAAAAGCCCTTAGATTAAAAAAAAAAAAAAAAAAAAAACTTATGCAACCGGATCGGATCACCCGGTTGAGCCAGCCGGCTGCGCAGCTCGGATCTCCATTGTCGTCTTCAACCCAAAACGCTGCTAGAACTCTATGTCACCGACAGATCGGACCTCTTCCATCCAGATCGCCTTCAACCTAGCCACCTACCTGCATCATCCTCGTCCCCCATGCTTGTTCGTCCTGCGTCGTCCTGCTTGGGCCAAAAGTCGGCAGAAGTCTGGAAGGAGCGATCTACACTCGCGTCATCCTGCTCGGGCCAGAACAGAACCGGATCATTCGTCCTGCATCCGTCGTCGTCCTGCTTGGGCTAGAAGAGAACCGAATCATTCGTCCTACGTCATCTTGCTCGGGCCAGAAGTTGGCAGACGATTGCAATTGCAGTCGGCGGTCAACGATTGCGAGTGTCTACACTCCCGGTCGGCAACAGATCTAGAGGCCAAAAGCATCAATGTATCAGGGGGATACCCGGAAGCATAAGATATCGTATCCAACCAATCCGGATACTTATCTATTTCCTAACTCTTCTCACACCATCTGAACGTGTGATAAGGATAATAATTTTATCCTTATCACGCGTTTTCAGCCTAACCGAACGGCTCCTAAGATGATTCAAATGGAAGACCAATACTCTGTCCAGGTTGATAAAGAATCAAATGTGGGCCGCTTAATGGTCTTAAACTCAGCCATCCCTTCTTCTCAGGAGTAGGCTAATGTCAACGAGTGGCAAACAAAATGTTAAATGCAATGGAGAAATTGGTAATGATTCAAAAGACCCTCTGTCAATATGAATTTAATTCATATTAAGATTTAGTTTCTTACGTGAAACACCGTTTACAGAACTTGTAATCTGGTCGGAGCTCTAAAATGTTCCAATGTTTTTGGAATTAAATATGCTTTCTTTTCTTTCTTTTTTTTTTTTGGTATATCAACAATTAGCTGCGGAGAGAGTTTTATGGAAAGAGTCAAGTTTTCC